CCCCCCAAAATCCGGGTAAAAAAAACTTCGGTTTTGGGGGGGCTGAGCCCCCACTTTAGAATTTGGGTCTGGGGGTGAAGGGGGGGCTGAGCTCCTCAGGGGTTGGGAAAATGGGGAGGGGGGCTCACCCCCAAAAAATTCATTTCCAGACCCCAAAAATTCATTTCCAGACCCCAAAACCAGCAGCAAAACCCCCCAAAAAAATCATTTCCAGACCCTAAAAGGGGGGTTCTAACCCCAAAATTCATTTCCAGACCTCAAAAAAGGGGGGTTCTGACCCCAGAAATTCGAGTCTAGACCCCAAAACCAGCAGTAAAACCTCCAAAATTCGGGTGCAGGACCCCAAAAAGGAGGGGTCTACACCCCAAAATTCCAGCCCAGACCCCAAAAGGAGGGGTTCTAACCCCAAAAATTCATTTCCAGACCCCAAAAGGAGGGGTTCTAACCCCAAAAATTCATTTCCAGACCCCAAAAGGAGGGGTTCTAACCCCAAAAATTCATTTCCAGACCCCAAAAGGAGGGGTTCCAACCCCAAAATCTGAGCCCTGACCCCGAAAAGGAGAGGTTCCAATCCCAAAATTCATTTCCAGACCCAAAAAGGAGGGGTCCTAACCCCAAAATCCACACCCAGACCCCAAAATTGGGACTCCAAGCCCCCCCTTTTTGGGTTCCAACCCCCCCTTTTGGGGTTCCAACCCCCCCTTTTGGGGTTCCATCCCCCCTCTGGGGCTCCAACCCCCCCATTTTGGGGCTCCATCCCCCCATTTTGGGGTTCCATCCCCCCCTTTTGGGGGTTCCAACCCCCCCATTTTGGGGGTTCCAGCCCCCCATTTTGGGGTGTCTCAGGGCTGGTTCAGCGGGGGCAGCGCCAGTGCCAGCACCCCCTGTGTCACCACCAGCCTCAGCCTGGGGGGGCTCCCCCCATCCCCCGCCTTGGGGACATCCCCCCCTTTTTTGGGGACCCCCCCCCCCAGCCGCACGTGGGCGTAGAGCGACAGTTTGGGGTCTGGCTCGGGGGCTCGGGGGTCGCTTTTGGGGGGGTCGCTTTTGGGGGGGTCGCTTTTGGGGGGGCCGCTTTTGGGGGTCCCCAGCAGCACCAGCGGGACCCCCCCGCGCAGGCGGCAGCCCCCCCCGCAGGACACGCAGTCGTGCAGGGCCACGCGGGGCTGGGGGCCGGGGGGCGCGGGGGGCTCGGCCCGCCGCTGCCGCCGCCCTTTCCGTGAGGGGAGCCGCTTCTTTTTGCTTTTGCTTTTGCTTTTGCGGCGCTGGGGAGGTTTCTGGGGGTCCCCCCCGGCCCCCCGGCGCAGCCTCACGTCCGTCTCGCGCAGCTCGTATTTCGGGGGGGGGTCCCGGAGAGGAGGATGAGGAGGAAGATGAGGAGGATGAGGAGGGGGCTCGGCCGCTTTGCCGCGCCGACGGAACGCGCCCTCGCCGCGCCTGAACCAGAGGGGGACACCCCGAATGAGCCCCAAAAACCGGGGGTGTAGCCCCAAATTGACGCCCCCGAATGAGGGAGCAGCCCCAAAAATCGGGGGTTTAGCCCCAAATTGACGTCCTCACGAAAGAGGCTGGGGGATTATTTTTACCCCCCTCCGCTTTAAAAACACCTTTTCACCCCCCCACAATGAAGATTTCAGCGATTCCCTCCTGTATTTCAGGGATCCCTGCTGTATTTCAGGGATCCCTGCTGTATTTCAGGGATCCCCTCCCTTCAGGGTTTAACCTTCTCCCAGGTCTTTTCGGGCTCCCCTCAAGGTTTTTGGGGCTGTCTCTAGAGTTTTGGGCCCTCCCCAGATACCTGTCCCCACACCCTCCCTATACCCAAATTTTGGGGTTTTCTCAGAGTTTTTGGAATCCCACCCACCCCATGAGATTTTTGGGCTTTCTCACACGTGTTTTAGAATCTCCCCCCAATTTGGGGTACCCCCATGGAAGTTTTTGGGTCCTCCACGAGGTTTTTGGGGCCTTTCAAGGAGATTTTGAGAGTCTCCTCTATGAGGTTCTCAGAGTCCGTTCCTCCCCCTCCCCCTGAAGGTTTTTGGGCCCCCTCTGAGGATTTTCGGGGTCCCCCGGAGGTTTTCGGGGTACCTCTCGCAGGTGCGGCACTCGCAGCCGCGGTTGCCCTCGCCGAAGAAGCCATCGCCGTAGAAACAGGTGATTTCTGCCCGGGGTGGGATGTCCCGCAGCGCCTGCACCCGCGCCCCGCCCGGGGCTGACACAAACTGCGCCCCAAAATACGTGAAACGCCCTCGTGAACCCCAAAAATAGGGACCCCAAACACGAGAGAGCCTCTTCTCCCCTCACGGCTCCCCGCCCTTTTCTCCCCTCACGTTTCCCGCCCTTTTCTCCCCTCACGATTCCCGCCCTTTTTCTCCCCTCACGTCTTTCTCTTTCCCCTCTCCCGTTTCTTGCCCTTTTTTCCCCTCGCGTTTTTCTTCTCTCTTCACGTTTCGCAAGTTTCCCCTCTCAGGTCTTTCTTTTCACCCTCATGTCTTTTTCTCCTCTCAGTTTCTTGCCCTTTTTTCACCTCGTTTTTCTTTTCTCTTTTCACGTTTCCCACCCTTTTCTCCCCTCACATTTCCTGCCCTTTTCTCCCCTCACATCTTTCTTTTTCCCCTCACATTTCCCTCCTTTTTCTCCTCTCAAGTTTCCTGCCCTTTTCTCCCTCGTTTCCCACCCACGTTTTCCTCCTGTTCCACTCTATTTTCCTCCACACTTTCTCCTATTTTCCTCTCCCGATTTCCACCCTTTATCCCTTAAATTTCCCATTTTTCTTTCGTGTTTCCCACCACTTTTCCCCTCACGCCGCCTGCCATTTCCCCCCCCCGCCATGTTTCCTGTCGTTTTCCCTCACATTCCCTGCATTTCTCCATTGCTTTTTACCACCATTTCCCCCCCCGTGTTTCCCGTCGTTTTCCCTCACATTCCCTGCATTTCTCCATTGCTTTTTACCACCATTTCCCACTTCGGATTTCCCACTGCTTTTCCCCTCACGTTTCCCGCTCTTTTCCCCTCACGTTCTCCGCCATCTTTCCCTCACGCTCCCCAGCACAAAACCACACCCCAAAAACCACCATTTCTCCCCCAAAACCCACCATTTCTCCCCCAAAAAAACCACACCCTCCTGAAACTCACCCTGCAGTTGGGATGGCAATCTGAGGAGAACAAAAGAGCCATCAGCGCCTGCTCAAGGACCGCCACAACAGCCAGGTGGGTCCCGAGGCAGCTCGGGGGGGATTCCGAGGGGTCCCAGCGCAGGATTTTTGGGCTTGTGGCTGAATTCCTGGGAGGTTTTAGGGTCCCACCGTGGTTGATGAAGGCCGCGGGCCCCAGCCAGAGCTGGGTTTTCCTGCGCCGTGTGGAGTACATGAGGCTGAAGTCGTTGTCGCCCGCCCGGAGCAGCGCCCGGTCCGAGCCCCGCAGCTCCACCCCGCAGCCCCCCAGCAGCTCCAGCGTCTCGTGCTTGCGCCTGGGGACGCACAAAGGGAAATTAAAATTACACCTTAATCCTCAGGGGTTTGGGTACCCGCCGTGTGCGGGGGGAGAGACAGAGAGGGAAATTACACCTGATCCTGGGCGGTTTGGGCACCTGTGCAGCCGGAAAGGGGAATTACACCCGATCCTGAGGAGGGTTTGGGCACCTGGACAGCCAAGAAAAATTATACCGAATCCTGAGGGGTTTGGGCACCTGTCGTGTGTGGCTGGAGAGCCAGAAATGGAAATTATACCTCAGTCCTGAGGGGTTTGGGCACCTGGACAGTCGGAAAGGGAAATTTCACCTGATCCTGAGGGGGGTTTGGGCTGTCGGTGCATGACTGGACAGCCAGAAATGGGAATTACGCCCGATCCTGAGGGATTTGGGCACCTGGACAGCCAGAAATGGAAATTACACCCGATCCTGAGGGATTTGGGCACCTGGACAGCCAGAAATGGAAATTACACCCGATCCTGAGGGGTTTGGGCTGTCAGCGCCGTGGCTGTGGCGGGCTCAGGGGGGCTCGGAGTCCCCGGGGATTTTGGGGGGGTTCCGGGGGGATTTTGGGGGGATTTCGGGCTCACCACGCGCGGGTGGACACCACCCTGGCGCCGTTGGTGTCGCGGCTGTAGCGGGTGCAGCGCTGGATGCTGAAGCCGCTCTCGGGCAGGAGCGTCCGCAGGTACCGGAACACCTGCAGGGGACACCGGCCATTCCCCAACCCCACAGACCCCGCTTCTCCCCCTCAGCGGCTCCTCCGCCCCACGGACCCCAGAGGGACCCCTCAAACACCCTCCCCGTGCCCCACACGCCCCCCTCCATCCCCCCGTGAGGACCCCGCTGCGCCTCCCTCACTCCCCCGGCACCCCCAAACCTCCCCGGAGCGCCCCCAGTCCCTCCGTACGTGGTTCTTGAGCGCTGCCCGCTGCACCGGGCGCCGCTGGCGGAAGAAAGCCGGGGCCCAGGCTGCGCTCAGCGTCCTCCAGGCCGCCTCCAGGTCCCGGCGCTGCCGGAAGGCCTCGATGGCCGCCCGCAGCTGGGCCCGGCGCCGCAGGGCGGGCAGGGGGCTGCGGGGGGACAGAGAGCCTCGAGCCTGCCGCGCCTCACGGAGTTAACACCGCGGGGGCTCCGTGCTTCCCCGCCGGTAACACCGAGCGGCTGCTGCCGGCCCCGTCCCGCAGCCCTCGGGGGGTCCCGCTCCTCCCGCCCGGTGCCCCCCGGGCTCACCTGACCCCCATCTTGTGCGTGCGGAAGCCGAGCACCGAGTCCAGCACGAGGCTCGTGGCCAGGTCATCGTTCTCGCAGAGCTCCCGCGCCGTCACCGCCGTCAGCGGCGCCCGGGGCCGCATGGGCTGCCGCCGCCGCCTCCGCCGCCGCCGCGCCTGCGGCACCGGGAGCGTCACCGGGGGGTGCCGAGCACGGGGCGAGCCCCGAGAGCCCCGTCCCGGCCGTTACCGCAGCGCCGCGGGCGCGGCACCGGCCGAGGCCGCCGCCGGTACCGGGCCCGGCCCGGCCCCGCCGCCGCAGCCCGCCCGCTCCCGCCGCCCGCTTCGCCATCCCCATTGGCCGCCCGCCCCCCCGCGCCGCCGCTCCTATTGGCTGCCCGCGGGGAGTCCCGCCCCCGCCGTGAGGCGCTCGGCGATCCGATTGGTGCGGACGGCTGCGCCTCCCCATTGGTCCGCGGCGTTTAGAGCTTACTATTGGTCCAGAGAGAAGCCGGTCACGTTGTTCGAGCATTTCATTGGCTAAAACCGAGCGAGTCCCTCCCCTCTCCTTCTATTGGCCAAAATCAACCGCCTTCCTGTGTTTTTATTGGCCGGCTCCCTCCCACTCTCTGCTCCCGTTGGCCGAGCGCGCTGTCACTCATGGCCGCCGGCTCACAATGAGCTCAGCGTGTGTCCGACCATAAACAATGCGGGACTGGCCGCGCCCATTTCCGCCACAGGCACCGCCCATTTCCGCCGCGGAGCTCCGCCCCTCCACGATGGCGGCGGGCAGGCGCGGCCGGCGGCCTTAGGCGGTACCGGAGCGTCCCGGGCGAGGCGGGGAGCGCGCCCCGGGCCCGGGCCGCTGCCATGGCGGCGGAGGGGAGCGGCGGGGGCCCGGGGG